CAATCCCCATTTATAAGATTTTATGAAAAAATTGATATATTTTGTTGCCTCTATTCATTCTCTCTCTCTCAACTTTGTGGCTCGTATTTGCGGCTAAAATTATTCTCGAATTGGTAAAATATTGATTACTAGATTGTTTGATTAATTAAATTCTAATTAGAGCACTTATGAAAAATTTACGGAGTTATGAGACTAATTTTAAAATTTCATAAAAGTCACATGAATGTGACATTTCAAGCTAACATGACTCGTTGGACGTGAAAGTGCAATTTCTGGTGACACACGTGAAATTCCCGTAATTGTTGTTATTTTGATTAATTTTAAGAGATAAAAAACTATTTTTGATCAATTACATTGTAATGAGATTAATTTCGAAACATTATATAACTAACTAATTTTAATATTTTCTCTGAGTAATGCTATTTAGCATACTTAGATTACAACTTGGTTACAACTCAAATGTAAATGTATTATTAAAAAGTTAAAAAATAATGCATTTACACTTGAACTAGTAACCCAATTTGTCATTCAAGTTGGTTCATAGCATTACTCATTTTCTCTACATTTTACAATATTCATATGCATTTTTTTTTTGTTTTCAAAATTTATATAATGAGTCAGACCACCAATTCATTAGAGTGCCGACCTTAAAATTTGTGCATTTATAAGCCATTCCTAACATTCATTAATACGGTATTTATAAAATTTTGATAATGGTGAGGCCTTTCACCCATATCTTTGTATTCACATCATTAAATTTTGGAAACACTAATGAAAGCAAATGTTTTGGGCAATTTTCATTCAATTCCTACCATATTTTTTATGTGGTCCTGAAATTAATGATCATTTACATTCTATCTAAAATCTGCAAGGTGAAAAATGATTTTTCTAAAAATAATATTGACTACAGTTCTGCATGTAATTAAATTTCTGTGTTTCTTAATTGCACTCAATTGAAAATTCATCTACCAACTCTGTCCCCGTAAATTTGGTGGATGCTGAAATTATTACCTGGACTTATGCATCTCTTTCAGGGTGTTTTCATATGAATATAAATTTTAGTGATATTAATTTCAATTATAATGAGTAAATTCCAATTTGCAATTTTAATCACTGTCTCTACATTTTTGCAAATTTCATCACTTCATTTTGTTTGCAAAATAATATACGAAATCAGTGAAATAAGCCAATGAAATCTAGAGAGTCCAATGAAGTGCTAGTTTACATGCAATATTTTAGGTGTATTNAAAAAAAAAAAGGACAAAATGGGAGTGTCGGAGAAGATTGATGAATATCGTGTATCGACTGATACGAATTTGTGAAAATTCGCATTGATGGCCTTCGGTTAACGCGAGAATTTTGCACAAACGCAAGCGATTTTGTTTTCTTATTGCATAAGTTATCAAAAATGAAGATTAAATGATAAACACTAGTCCGAGATTGACTTTGGAAATTAAATGATAAAATAAAATGAAGCGAGTCCGTCCTTCATCCTCAATAGTACGGTGCTCGTGCGATGCACGGGAGCATTTATTATATATATATTTTTTAAAATATATTTTTATATTTAAATTGTCTCATGCCATTAAAAATTTCATTAAAATAAAATTTATATGTTATTAAATACTTCCTTATGTACAACATTATTGATTTGATTCTTTGACACGTAAAGTACTACATAGGTGTTCGAATTTATTCAAAATTGCATATTATTAGTTCTTACTTCACAAATTTTTAAAAAATTAAAAGATCTTATTTATTGAACAAAATTAAAGTAGAAAAAAAAAGTAAAATTTTTTAGGAATTTTCATCCATTATTTATTTTAAATCTAATTCTAAATTTCAATTAAGAAAAATTGAAAGAATCATTAGTTAGTCCCGGAAATGAAACCATTTTCTTACCAATAAACTGATTTTTTTATCAAACAAATTGATCCGATTTTTTTTAAAACCAAATAAAAAAAAATCATCAATTTTTCTTAAAAATGCAACCAAATTTTCCTAACATTGCACCAATTTTTGTACCAAACAAATTGAATTGAAAATAATTCTAATAAAAAATTGAAATAAATTATTAATGTTTATGCAACTGTCTCTTTCCTACAGAAAATGATATGAACTTAATAAAAAAATGATATGAACTTACCAAAATCTCGGTAAAACATGGTTAAGAAAAAATATAAGAATTCAAAAAAATCGATGCATTTAAATTTTGAAAAGTTACACATATTTTTCCTAAATAATTGGACAAGGTGACTTTAAATATCAATGATGAACCGATTTTGTTACCAAAAAATGTGGACACAATTTTGAATGTATATCCCGTCCAAATATCAGTTTTATTTTAAAATAAAAATTGCATGTGGCTTTATCCAATTTACACAATTTTTTTGAAAGAAAAAATTATTCAATAAGATTGGAAGAATTGGTTAAGAATCATATAACTATTTGCTTCCTAAATTTTTATATATCCAATTTCTACGGTTTTTATATTAATTTTTATTTAGAATTGTTTTAAAAAATAATTGACACATTTTTTTCATAAGAATCCCCAAATTTGTTACCAAAAAAGATATGATTTAAATTTTGGTAAAAAAATAAAATATGATACGAAAAATATGAGATTCAAATTTTGCCATAATAATCTCCAATTTTGTTACCAAGAAAATAGGAATTAGATTTTGTTACTAAAGATTTACATGTATTTTTTTGAACTTTCTATTAATAGTAAGTCAAACATTATATTTATTTGGTCAAACTTTCTATTAATGTATTTTTCCAACAACCTCTTTATATAGATATATAGATGCGCTCATGCCCGATTTGCATCAAATATTTTCCACATCTCTCTCATTTTAAAATCGTGCATATTTTTTCCGCATCATTTACTAAAACAGTAATTTAATTATTGTGTATTCTTGCAAAACTACCCACCATTGATCTTTATGTTGTATTCTCAAAATCTTTTACATGTCAACATTTTAATCAGATACATCAAATTTTAAAGACCGATTTAGTAATTTCGTGTATCGTTCTACCAAGAAATTGAGGTGGTGATATAATTTTGTAAACGTCCAAATATAGTGATTTAAATGTAATTTCGATTAAGTTTGTGATATTAAGTGCAACTAGTAATCAACCTGTGCATTTGCACAGAGAAGAATACTTTAAAAGATAACAATATAAAAAAAAAATAAAAATAAATCATAATTTAATTTATGAAAAAAAAATGTGAATTAAGAAAATAATTCTCAAAATTGATTTTGGTCATGTAATTGCTATGGAAGAGCCGTTACAACTATTTTCTTTATAAAATTAAATGCATGATAATATAATTTAATGCTTTGTTGCTCCTCTTTATATATATATATATATATATAGATTTCGATTACAACTATTTTTTTTATAAAATTAAATGCATGATAATATAATTTAATGCTTTGTTGCTCTCTTTATAGATATATATTGTATGATCTTTGGTTTTTCTTTTCATCTGACTGCTCTAACTTTGGTTGGTGAGGAAAAAAATGAAATGAATATTATAATTAATTTTATATTCTTTCAATATCCTAAATAAAAATCATTAGTCTATAATTTAATGATTAATTATAAAGTTATAATATGCTATAGCATAATTCAAATTAAAGGGTGCAACATTAACACGTAAAACCACATTCATTTGTATTGATTTAAAATAAAAAATATATTTGAAATTCCTAAATAAATAATAAATAATTCACAAATAAAAGACGTACCAAAATATACATTACATCCAATCAGATAAACGCAATTTTAAAAAAAATATTCCAACTCTTTTAATTGTAAATTTGGTCTGCAAAAAAGTGAAAGAAAAATAATTAATCATTATATGCATACAGACTCACAATAATTTATTTATATCTGTGCAAATGCACAGGTCGAATACTAGTTTTTAATTAAATACCCCAATGTTTTTTTTTTTTTATTTTAATTTGTGTGTTTGTTAGCTCACTACACTCAATGTGAATTAATATCATCAAATAATCTTTGAATCATTAATAATAAAAATAGACAGAAAGGGGGAAAAAAAAAATGAAAACGGCTTTTGATTGCAAATCAAAACGGATTGAACAATTATTAAGCCAAACACTCGCGCCATTTAATGCAAAGAATTGCTATCCAAACAACTCCAGCTACTCTGTATTAACTTCACCGTCATGTTTAACTAAGTTGATTTTTCTTTCTTAGGGTTTTACCTTTTTTCCCAAATTTACCTTAAAGTAATTCATAATTTAACTCTCATATTATATGCTTGGTGTGAATTGATCCAATGATTAAAATTCTCACTAGGAAGTGCCCACTAATAGAGTGAAATTCACCTTAAATTGAATTGAATATTCCTATGAATTAACTTACTAGTTTCTTGTCACGTGGTTATTATTGGGTTTTTCGTTTTAAATGATACATAATATATATCTGCATAGCAAAAGTTGATGTTAGTAACTTAGTATGGCTAATGGAACAAAGTTTACGCCCACGTGTCACGTTAAATGAGATGCAATAATTTCATTTGTATTAAATTGAGAAAATTTTCAAATTTATGAGACTACAGTTAGTTAATTTAATTTTAATGATTCTAAATTTTATACCGAAAAAAAAAATGATTCTAATTTTAAAAAATTTCCATATTTATGAGATAACTTTTGAAATTTTATATTTATCCTAACATTTGCATAATAATATTATATAACTTGTACTTGAACCAATGTGTTGGGTTTAATTTACAAATACCAAACACTCCAGAATCACTCAGAAATTATATAAAATTCCCAAGAGTTTCAAAATTTGAAAACAAAAATTGCAATCCAAACTGAAAATTATTTCAACTAACATATGGTACTTAATTAATAACGTGACCAAAAAAATAGTTGGNACGTCACATGAATTTCCGGTATTGATTTTTCCGTTATACCCAACAATATCTCGGTCATCCCGAGATTCCCCGGTAACCCCAACCGGCTATGGCCGGTCGCCTTGACCCTCCACGTGTCGAACTCCCATTGGCAATCCGGCCCGTCATCATTCTTCGATCCTCTAACGGCATCGCCATGTGCCCTGTCACCGTTAACAGGGTCAGGACCACATGTTACGGTAACCGCCTCACTCAATCTCCACCGTCCGATCAAATCCGCGATATTTGATGGATTTCCCTTTTTGCCCCTACTCTCTCCCTACTCTATAGTTTCTGCAGGCTCGTCTGGACCAAAAATAAGAAAGCACTCACCCATATATATATAAATTCTCTCATATGTTATGTATCTATAGGCAGAGAGAGATCAAGAGAGAGAGAGAGATATGAGCGTGACGATGAAGGCATGGCGAATGGTAGCTGCGGAGGAAGACGTGGAATTGATTTCCAGTAAAAAAAGGAAGCTTTACTCTGAGCTGAGCGGCGAGGTGGAGCCATCGCCGGAGAATCCTGCATCGCCGGCGGCGTCCAGGACTTCCGGTGGCTTCTACGAGTACAAGGAGTTCTCGAGTGACGTCGCGAAGAAGGGATCGTCGGATCTCGAGGTGAGAATTTTCGGAATTCGGTCTCGGTGAAGGTGGATTTTTGCGTTTTTCCGTCGTGATAGCTTAATTTTCAGCTGGTTTTCTGAGGATTATTTTGATTTTATTCATGTTTCTTTTTCTTTTTCTATTTCCCTTCAGGATGTTGATTTGCAGTCGAAGGTTGTCGAGAAGGAGATTTCCACGTCCACTGGTCGCATTTTCAGGTGAGCAATTGAAGAAAACGGAAAATTTCGAGTAATTTCGCGTTCAATTTGTCAGGTTTTTAATTTAAATTCACCATTAAAGCAGTTCGAGTTCTGTATGCATCTGACGTTGCGTTTCCGAATTGGGCGATCTGTTTGTAATTTTTCCTGATTTTCAGCAAAAAATAAAAAAAATATTACTGTTTGTTCATGAGCTTCACAGTTGTTTCCTCTTTGTTTTCTTCTTTTCCAGTGGAGAGCCTAGTCCAACGAGCGAGTTTTACGGTGACTCGGAGCAAGTGTCACTGCAATCAGTCTCCATGGCCAAAAGCAAGAAACTGACGCCTCCATCAATCTCTCGCCGGAAAATCGCCACTTACTCGCCGCCGCCGGCGGAGCTCGAGGAGTTCTTCGCGGCGGCTGAAAAGCACGACCAGAAACGATTCCTCGAAAAGTGAGTACAAGTTCAAATTTCAGCACCTCCGCATATACAATACATACAGTATATTTGCATATTTCCTCACAGTGCGCACAGTAAGGCTCTGAACCCGAAAAAATGCACGCCCGGCTCATTTTAGCGTAGCCCCAATTGATTATTCCCATAACTGAAAAGTGCAAAGGAGTAATCAGTAATGATTTTGTTGAATGTGGGTATTGTGTTATTTTCAGGTACAACTATGATATAGTGAGGGACGTTCCATTGGAGGGAAAGTATCAGTGGGTTCGTTTACACCCTTAAATGAAATTGCAGCTCAAACAAGGAAAAAAGGCATCTTTTTCTATTCCCTTTATGTTCCTACTTTTTTTTTTTTTTTTTTTNGTGGGGCTAAGATTTTAAATTAATAGTGACTGGGCATTAAACAATTTCTCTATGTGTACAGCAATTTGACATATTTATTGTAAAGAATGAAGCTACTAGAGTTCTGATATCTACTGAAAGTTTTAATTTTGTAGTTAATTTCAAGATAATTTATTTCTACTTTCTTGTGGCTTGTTTATAATTGGCCATCGGGTAAGATTCGACTTGCCGGTGTAGCTCCGAGCTGTCGATGTTGATCTAACGGCTCGGACCTCGGCAGATAGATGGTGTTAAGTGAGTAATTGTTATATGAGCTTAGAATTTTTTTTATTTTTTCTATTTTTTTGGTGTGTGTGTGTGTTCTAGTTGATATATATATTTTACTATACTAATTGAAAAAGGTGTTTTTGTTGGGGCATATATTGGTTGGTTGTTTTCTGATAGCTGTCAATACTCAATATTAGCTTGTTTGTGATTTTTGTTACTGTTATTTTGCAAAATTCCATTTGGAGAGAGAGAGAGAGATAGAGGGAGAGAGATAGCATGTAGACCCTATTCTTGTTTGCATGGAGTTGTACATTAGGGGCATGAAACCCACATACCTTTCACATGTGTTTGTTGCAAAAATTTGTGTGCATTTTCTTTTATAAGTCTTACTATTTCATATATATGATTATTAGTTACTATTATTTATTACTAGTACACTACCACATTATCATAGATAGTCATGTCATTTAAGACATATTAATCCTAACATATTAGAAATGAATAGATTATTGACACATAAAAATAGAATTATGAAGTTGAAACTTGAAAAGACTCCGTTTATATAGTTGAAATCACATAAAAAAAACTTTGCTTGTACCATATTTTGGTAGATAATATGTAATTTTTTTAAAGTCGTTGTTTGACACAATTTTTTTATGGAGAAAATATATCGAGTCGGATCCTTTCCTTTGTACATTAGAACAAATATTCATATTTATAATGCGAAATATCACTCGTATTAAAAATTTATTCCATGAATGATAGTCTGATTGCCTTAAACTATTAAACTATAGGTGCCCACAGTATAGTCCTATTTTTGGTTATTATTATTTTTTTTGTGTGTTTGTTCGTGTGTGTGGTGGTCCATCTTAATTGAATTAGCTAGCTAGGAGTTTAATTGAAACGTGTGTCCATTTCTTTTGGAATATTGGGAAATCATGGAAGGCAAAAAGAAGTCATTTACTAACCGCCCGAAAAAAATTGTATTTTTTCGAGACACATTTGTGCAAAACGGTGGACCAAAATTAATTTCCCACAAATTTCCATTAAATATTTATTTCCGACTCTTGATAACTAGTTTTTGGATTTTTTTATTTTTTTTTTTCAAGTAGTTGGCCGTCCATATTGGATGTCATTTTCCAATTCTTTGGTGTTTTATAATTTACTGTCTTGTGTGAGACACTACAATATTCATACGATGCATATATTTTTTTATGAGGCTGTCTAGCCGTCACTTATCATAATTTTTATTAGTAAAATTTATATTATTAAATTTCATATTAATATTTATGTTGTTTTTATTAGTATGACATTCCAATTTCAAATTATTTGTATCTGTTGAATAATTATGTCTAACTTCTCCCTTACTATATACCAAAAGGTCAAACTTGGCGAGTTTTCATTAATTACAAAAATTAAAAAAAAAAAAATTGAAGAAACAATTATGCTTGGTTAAAATTTCACATTTCTCCAGTTTTTTTTTTTCCATAAATAAGAAAAACATGTATTGGCAGGAGTACAATTTGTGTTTTCATGTAAATAGAAACACAGCAATATCTGTCAGACACTGGCTGTGATGATTGTCGAAGCGACAGGAAAATTATAAACTAAAACAAAATAAAATAAAAGTAGACTGAGAGATATCCATAAGACAATAGTGGGCTCAACAATTTTTAAGACTTAATTCATAAATTATTATGGCCAAAATATGAGAACAGTAAATAAATAAACATAAAGATAAAAATTTACATGCAAATTAAATAAACATAAAGAAAAAATAATTGAAAACAAGAAAATGCTCAATTGTCATGGTCATGCACTTGGGGCCTGGCCAATTTGTCAAATGGCTTGGTCCTAACACATAGTATACATGCTTGTACATGATCCAAAAATGTTTAAAGTACAAAAATGTCATTTTGACTAAAATTTTTCTGGATATAATATAGAAATATGAGTGTATATTTATTTTCTTTAAACTTGTGCCATTTAGCTATACTTTTTGTACTGCAGATATTTGATTTATTGGCATCATATTTAAAGCTACAATATTTTCATAATAGTACATATTGGTACATTGACTAGGACGAAGAGATATAGTGTCATGATATTTCTTGTAAAAGTAATTTCCCATTTTTCTGCTTAGTTTAATCTCTTCAAAAACTATCTTTGTCAAAAAAGTAAAAAAAAAAAAAATTCCTTTTAGTAAAATTGACGGATAATATAAAGAATTAAGCACACATACCCTCATGGAAAAAATTATACACTTTTATCATGGTCCCAATTAATTAATTAACATAGTTTTGAGTTCCTGAAAATTAAAATTATATAAAAACCAATATGGATTTTACTTATAAGAGATTAATGACTTATTTCACAAGACATAATATTCATTAAACATAACCCTCTGAAATTAAAGAATAGACCATATATATCACTCAATTACACGAAAATGTTCTACAAATTTAGTCAGGCTTCACGTTGGTTTAATTATCTAATACTGCTGAATTCGGGCGAAGACATAGCCAAACCGAACTATTTTACAATGTCACATCATATGAGTCTATCTATTTACACAGACAATTTAACCAACGTACAATTGAATGCAATAGCAATGGTACTTGTAAATGAAAAGAATTAATATTATGGATATTACTAATTTAAATGGTATTTTATTTTCCACCTTTTGATATACTCATATTTTTCTATAAAGAAAAATAATAACCTTTCCACTGGTGATTAATAAAAGAAATTAATGTTGTGAATATTGTGAAATTTGTGACAATTTTTCTAGGATCAATACAAGAAAATAGGTCGAAATTTTGTACGAAATTATCGAAAAAGACTAATTATGAAGCAACAAGAAGTGTGCATGTGCATGTGCACGTGCCGTGATGGAGTGGTCGTCAACTGAGTTCCACGTGCTTTGGATCTGATGCAAAACCAATTTTTTAATACTTTAGCAACAAAAACCAAGAAAAAATATTGTGAAGAGATATAACAAAGAATGTTGCCTTGATCGTGGCTGATTGAGAGAAGAAAGTTGAAAAAAAAAAAAAAAGTTATTATATTCCTTGATTTCAACACTTTTAATCTTTCTTTCATATACACAAAAAGCTCGATTGCTGATTATGATGAAGCTTTGTTCCCAATAGATAAATAAAAACATATATAGCTGGCTTATAGTCCTTTCTTCTAGATACATTCTGGGTTTTTGTGCCACAAACCTCTGTGAAAAAGGATTATGATAAATAAATCGTTATATACTTGCAATTTGCAATGTTACAACATGGTTCGAGGTGTAGAGGATAGAGTTGAGCTCGAGTTTCTGATATTCAAGCTTATTGAGTTCAGTTAAGCTCTGATTATCAACTAATAAATTCGATAAATGAGTTTGAACTCGGTTTATTTATTAATACTTGACGAAATTTAGTTTTGACGAGATAGAACTCGAGACATTAAAAGTCGAGGTACGATAAAAGTTAAAAAATTATGTATGAACACATGTTTTTGAACTTTAATGAGCTGATTCGTCAATCAGACGAGCTTAACTTGACTCTTATTGTTTCATTTAACAATTCTAATAATGACTATCATACCTATATAGTTGAAATATATGTACCAACATAAGTTTGACGAGGGTGAAATTGGGACCACCATCTTTAATTATGATATTGATATGCTACCAATGATCCCCTAAAATTGTACAAAATATGACTTTTTCCGATTCGTTTTGATTGTGCTTTCTTAATCCATTTGGTGAGCACAATGATTACATTTTCTTTTTTTGAAAATTTTAACAAAATTGAGCAAAATTGTGGTGCCCATGTGAAGAGTGCCAGCAAGCTCGATCAAGTGGTTAAAAAAAAAGTTTGGTTCGAGCATATAAAACGCATAAAATCAGACCACAATAATTTAAATATGTTTTTGTGTTATGATTTACGACCATGATCATAAATTTTTTTTAATATTAAAATATGTTTTGACATGGAGTTTTCAAGCTTAATAGACCATGCTACTTAATTGGGCCTGTGACATCTTGCAAGTAAGAACTGAGATCGATGAGGAGGCCTCATGAACAAAAGCCCAATTAGAACGAAAGATGCTGTTGCCAAATATTTTGGCAAATCAAGTTATAGGCTGAATTGGGCCAATTGAGGTCGGTGAGGGGCCTTATGGACAATGACCCACTTTTGAAAAGTCATAAAAAATGATATTGGTAGTGTTTTATCCATTTTCAGCGTCGGTTTAAGGCGAAATTTTATACTTACCACAAGAATATTAAAATATTGCTTATATACGAGATGTGATATTTTATAACATGCATACCAAAATAAACTGTTTTTGTTTGGTGCTGAAATAAAAACTTCCATTATCAAAGGAACCTTCCTACAATCACGCACCTTCCTACAATCACACACCTGTAGGAATCCACTGGAAATAAAAAAGGTAAGTGGATATGAACTATTTATTAGGAATTTGTTCTTATCAACATGTAAAGGAGTATAATTTGAAAATCAAACGTACTTCCTCTCTCAAAATACAGTAAAAACACGAACAAGAAATATACAGTATATACATGATCACAACATAATTCTTTTACCTGCTATAAGCACCGACCGAACATATACATAATATAATATACACGATCAGAATATAAAGACAACAAATCATATACATAATAATATAATATTCGTTATAAAAAATAGATTGAATTTTCGGTATGTGTTCCGTATTATATACAGATCATATACATATTATACATATTGTATATGTTTAAAGTATATTGTATTCAGTTTTTGGTATAAGTTCTGGATATATGTTATGTATGTGTTCCGTGTTATATACAGATCATATACATAATAATATAAAATTCACAATAAATAATAGTTTGAATTTTTGGTATGTGTTCCGTATTATATACAGATCATATACATATTATACATATTACATATGTTTAAAGTATATTGTATTCAGTTTTATTGAAATTCTCTTTTGCAGATTATATACTTTTAAAAGTATACACATAAAATATGCATAAAATATACACTTGAGAATCTCGTAATTCAAGCCAGGACACACATATACATAAAATATACTTTAAATATACACTAGAGTTTCAATCTTTTCTCAAAACCGATTTCAGAACTCAAATAGATATAAAATATACATAAGATATACACTCGAGATTCTCCGATTTCAAGCCATCGAGACACACATATACATAAATTATAAGCCATCGAGACACACATATACATAAAATATATTCTCGATATTCAATCGTTTCTCATTTCAGAACTCAAATTAAGAACCGGAGAGCTTCGTTTCACCTGAAGACAATGACTCGCTCAAGCAACCCCGTAGGCAGCAGAACAGCGGTAGGAGAGCCTCGTTTCAGCCCGGACAGCGGCAAGAGAGCCTCGTTTCAGCCCGGGAAGCTCCTAAACAGCTTTGTTTCCGCCCGAACAGCTCTCAGACAGCCCCGTTTCATCCATGACAATTAACAACTCCCAAACAGCCGTACGAGCGTCCCGGACAGCGTACTAATAGCCCGAGTATCCCAAGTAGGACGCCGAACAACGTTCAGAGAGCCCGTTAGCAGCCCCGACATTCATACGAATGGCCCGCATAGCCTTACGTGCGTGCCGAATGGGGTGTTGTAGCTCAAACGTAGCAAAAGGAGAGAAGAAAAAAAAATATTGGAAGAAAAATATGTTGGCCTTTGGGGCAATTTATCAAACACGTGAATGGCAGGGAGTATAGGAGGTGGAAGTTGATGAGAACCTTTTGAAGAAGTCGGCCAGAAAAATTCGCAGTACACGCAGCAGCACAACAACATAAAAGCAAGGAAAAAATAAAAAGGGCAGCGATAAGTTTCGAATTTAACCAAACCACTAACAACAATAACAGAAGGAAAGAGAAAAAAGAAAGGAAGATGAGAGTTATACCTGTTTTGTGCTTTCTCGTTTGACGAATAAAAGCCAAAGGCGCCTCCTTTTTATAGGCGAAGGTTTGAAACGAAACTAAGAAAATTTTCGTTATTTTCTTACTTGGAGTTGAAGTAGTATACAAGGTTTTTACTGCCTTCCAGAAAAAAAATGAGCAAGGCAAGAAATCTGATGTTCGAGATTTGCAGAAGAGATGAACAAAAATTATATACTATGTACATACTTGTTCTGCTGCGAAGAAGGAAATATAGAAAAAATATAAATAATTCTTGGGAAGTAAAGGATATGTGTTGAAAGGTCTATGGTATCTTGTGTATGAATTTGATTGCGCACATGTTGATATGGAAATAATATGTGTGGAAGGAAATAAATCTGGTTCACATTAGATCTGATGTGAAGAAGAGAGAGAGAGGGATGAAGAGGAGAGAGACCGTATAATTAGGGGAGTTATCTATCCAAAACAACTTCTAGTATATATGCAAATAAAAATTTAAGGGTTGTAAATGTGCAATAATGTTGTAAATGTCTAGTAGCCTATGCAAATTTCTCGTCGTTTAAACCCGGTCCACGAATTGACTCGGACAGGCCTCCGGGTCAACGTCGGTTCAGTCTTTGGATCATCGAATCAATTGCTGACCCGGATAATTAATTTTAATTTTTTAAAAATTATATACATTTTTTTTACCCGTCAGTTCCGGGCCGGTTCCATATCGAAAGACGGGTCCGATTTTTATTCTTTCTTATTTTTTTATTAAAAAACAGATGGCTCAATAAACTGCCAGGTCCAGCTTTTGAGGCTCGGAGACCCGTCGGGCCGGGCCGGTTCACGGCCATGTCTATTTTTATCATATAATTATACATAAAACTATAACAATAACACAAAGAAATGTTATGTATATAAATTTTGCACTTCAAAGTGTTAAATAAAGTTGAATCTCACAATTAATATTTATTATATATATATACATGATATTTATTTTTAATATAAACAAATTTAAGAAAAAAAAAGTAGTGAACAAGTCGACCTGATCAGGTCTGTTTTCACCCGAATAATTAATTTTAATATTTTGAAAATTATATATAGTATTTTTACCATATAAATACACGTAAAGTAACATAAACAAATGGTTTGTATATAGCTAGGTTTGTACATCAAAGTGTTAATATTATTATATCTCATAATAAATATTTACCATATGTGTGTGTGTATAGTTTTTATTTTTAAAATAAAAATATATCTAAAAAATTTACAATTACCGTGTCAAATAGTGATGACCCAACAGGATTGATGTCTGGGTTGACCTGGTCAAGGTTGGGTTGACCGGATTTGACCAGATCTGTCCCGAAACACCCACGCAAACCGGCACCAACTTCAGGTCCTGAGTTGATTGGGTTGAAAACTATGGTTTTCAGTCAATTTTTATAGAACATAAATGAATCCAAGTGTATCTTATTTAACGTTATTCTCTCTTTAAGAGCATATCAAGGTTTTGTTATATAAACCATTGGATAATATAGTGGTAACTGAAAAGGTTATGTAGATTATAAATTATTCTACAACTTATAAGTTCATTTCGAATTGATAGTTTATAGCTGATGATTGAATATACAAAAACATGCTTGGTAAAATTGCCTTGAAAGTATGCTGAAGCAAAAACTCGATAAACATATGAAATAATTTAAAGCTTTTTTTTTTTAAAAAGGATCGTCCTAACAAACGAGACTTGTAATTAACAAAAGATACTAATTGATATAGCCATATTGTCATATACCGGTCCAAGTACTAATTGCTCGATCGAGATGATGAGCCGAATCGATCTCATGTCGACATCCCTAAGTCGACATCTTGACAATCGACCTCCTCATTAATAAAAGGAAGAATCGGTTTCACTAAAGTCGACATCCCCATAGTCGACCTTCGTCAAGAAGACGGACAAGCGTAGTCTCCGGATACTCAACAAAACCCTAAGTTGACCTCCCGGTGCTCAAGGTTGACTGCTTGCGCCTCAAGGTCCAAAACATAATGACGACTCAATACACTTGCAATACCTCTTGAAGTCTTATATTCTCTAATGGATAAGAAGGAATCTTGTGATGACTAAGCAAGGAGGGGAAACGAACCGACAGGGGCATTTCGGACATTTCAAGTAAGTCGAGCAGGGCATTTTGGGTACTTCAAGTAAGTGTTTCCTCCTATATAAAGGGGGTGAGGTAGCCCTAAACCCTAACTTCCATTCATTCCATACACTCTCCCCTTCTGCTGCTGCTCTCTGAGAGCAGCTCTCTTTCACATACTGACTCGAGCGTCGGAGGCTCTACGCCGGAAACACTTCCGGCGTTGAGTTCTTGCAGGTGTTTCGGCGGTCTATCAACGATTCAGAGGCAGTTCAAACAGATCGGAGCTCATAACACCCGGTTTACTCCAGATCTGGAAGTAGATCCATCACTAATAATGGTCATCTATAATTTATATTTGTTGCAATAGTTTACATTAAAATATATGGATATTCGTAATTTAGACATATTTATTTAAAGAAACATGTAATCACATCGTTGATGCTTCGTTTGTACCCTATAATAAACATGATTTGAAACATGTAACTACATTATTGATAAATAATTATAGATGATTCTATAAATCATGTCATCCAATTGTTCAGTGGTAAAATTGAATTCATTAAACATTGGAGTGAGATTTTTTATCATAAAATCATATTTCCATTTATATTTCATTTTATTGAATAAATGACACATATTCTCTTTTT